TTCCGCGAAGAAAAGTTCGCAGCAAGTGGCTTTGAGCCAAAGACAAGCGAACAACTTCAAACAAGACTATTATTAAGAGTGACATTTTAAGGGATAGTAATGTATAGTTTCATTGTACACTTGTTACACCGATTTTATTTTTACCACATAATTACGGGGACATATTGAATTGAGATTAATGTTTTAAATCGTACCCGTTTATAAATCCATTTTGTACAGCGTACAAATTCGTCCAGACAAGATGATCACAACAATATTATCAAACTCTGTAAACAATAAATCAACTCCGATAAAACGGGAGACGCAAGACGGAAAGTTGTTTTTGAATGAAATAAGAGCACGCGTCCGTTGTGATACACGGATGTGCGCCGTGTAATAATGCGTTGCTATTGACGACGGTCATTATAAAGAAGGAAATGCCACAGAATAGAATCTTGCATAAAAAACTGCATAGAGCTGCTTGTTTTATTTGTTGTTTGTTGATTTTCAAATATCATTTATCCATCTGACATTACCACACACACACACACAGGCCGTGATCAGATTTTTGACTCAGAAACTAGTGAGGAGGAGGAAATTCAGGATGCATCTTGCAGTAAAGATGTTTCTGAAGAGGAAGGCACCACTGAATCGGCTACGGAGCTTGAAACAACTGATGAGGAGCAGTCTTCCAGTGATGAGGGCCCAGCTGAGGTTACCGTTTCATTCTGGTCAAAAGATGGAACTTTGTCCTGGCCTTCATCCCCACCTATGAGGCAAGGCAGGTTTTCTTCTGAAGGCCTTCCTCTTCAGAAACATCTTCACTGCAAGATGCATCCTGCATTTCCTCCTCCTCACTAGTTTCTGAGTCAAAAATCTGATGAATAACATCATGTGCAGAGCTGTTTTGCCATTGTGCTGCCACAAATGAATGACAAGCAAGGTGCTGTGAGGCATTTTATATATGCCTGTGCTATCACATGATGTATATTTGTAAATATTGTCTAGTTCTGTGTGAGAACCTAACAGTTCCAAAACAAAATGTCATAATATTTTGTCTGGAAGCTGTGATGAAACAAGACCATGATTCTTTTGAAGCCGGGTCACTGCAGTCACGGCCAGTTTGTGTGTGTGTGTGTGTGTGTGCGTGTGTGTGCGTGTGTGTGCGTGTGTGTGTGGTAATGTCAGATGGATAAATGTATATTAGATGCAGGTTAGGGTAGAATCAAATTTCTCTCTGTGGAAAAGAATGTGTGTAATACTCAAAAAAGTTTGTGTGTTTTAACGTGTGTGTGTCTGGGTAGCGTGTGTATAAATGTATCGATACAAGCACAGGTCCAAGGGCTCGATGTTTGCAAGCACACATGCTCATATGTGTACATGAAAATAATGAACATGCTCCTGAAAACTAAATTGTTCTGTTATTTTCAGTCTCTCCCATTCACTTTCAATGGTCGGCCATTGTGACCATTTTTGACCATGCCTACTCTCAGATAAATGAGGCCCACAATTAATCAGATGCAAACAGAAATATAAAACCAGTCCTAATTGAAAGAGAACAAGTTGACAAAAAGATTGAATCCAAGATTGGGTAAAAATATGGTATTATAAGTGATTTATAAGCTATTTTTTATAGGCCGGTCATTTTTTACCGGGAACACCTCAAGTGTGACTATGTGCCATATTTTTTACAAAACAAAAGTTTCAAAACAAAATTCCTGGTGAAACATTAGAGTAGACTAGTGTGATCAACAGTAGCCATTTTTTTCATTTTTTTTTTCATATTTCCAAATTTACTCATACATTATTTGTTTTTTACTCAAAAAATGAGATGCCTACTTTCAGACAAATGAGGCCCCCGATTAATCAGATGCAAACAGAAATATAAAACCAGTCCTAATTGAAAGAGAACAAGTTGACAAAAAGATTGAATCCAAGATTGGGTGAAAATATGGTATAATGAGTGACTTATAAGCTATTTTTTTATAGGCCGGTCATTTTTGACCGGGAACACCACAAGTGTAACAAGGTAACAAAACTCCCACAAAAAAAATAGGAACATTTTCAAAAAAACCTGAGATTTAGTTAAACCGTTTGGGAACAAAGTCACTAAGTTTCAGTCCAAAGCGATAACATGAACTAGTATTTTCGGGAAAAAGAAAATCTTCTCCGGGTCAAATTGACTTGAACACCACATGAGGGCAAAACCGTGATAATATTGATAATCACGATAATTTTGGAAACTATAAACAAAATTATTACATTTATCTTGCCTAAATGTTTGCGCTCATTGCATTTTTACAATGGGGTAATATTGTTGTTAAGAATTTACACATCACAAGGAAGCTTGATTTAAATTGTTTAATAAAATTGAAAAAAAATAGCACAAATAAATACAATAGAATTAAGATACAAATAAAGACAAATAAAGAAAAAAGGTTTTGAATAGGTTAACACTATTCATATACAGAAACTGAATAAAGTAATCAAATGGAAAATAACACTGGGTAGTATTTTAGTCCTGAATAAATTAAATACATAGGCTATTAATCCTGATTCCTTTAACTTAAAGCTATATTTGTTGTTGTTTTGACAGACACATATGGCGGCCGTCACTTTAAGAGCTAGTGCACGGATCCTGTGTTCATTATACTGGCATGCGTTTTATGCTTATTAAAGACAAAACCGACTATGTTTAGAGTATGCTCACGAACACCGAAATTGACAATTTTGCGTGTTAAAGCAATATAATCCGCGAAAAATAACTTTTGTTACTGGCCAGCTGTTTTTGAGGCGGATTTTCTTTGAATGTGCGCATAGAAAATTAACTCAGAGAGCGCGCGAGCACTGATTAGTTTAAAATCGCTTGAATGTTTAAACTGGTAAGACTTAAAAAGACGTGCAAATGGTAAACTTCAGTCACGATGCACTGCTGGTCCGATTGTGCAAGTGAATATTGCGTCATGTCCAGACTCCTAAACGAGTGTGTATTATCGTCGCAGCGCTTGATGCCTGCCTTGCACAACACATTTTGAGAGAAGAGATAGAAGACGCGGCACCGCTGAACACTCACGCTGTTTGTGAAATTGCATCTGGCAGAGAGTTGTTAAAAGAATGATTTCATTTTATAATCTGTGTGGATTACGATTGCGGGAATTTCCCGCATTATAAATGGGAGACCTGCGGGAATGATTAGAATTATGCGCAATACCCGCAATCCCGCGGAATATATCTTCTAGTGACGTAGAACTGGAAAGCAGTGGGATTCGAATGAAAAAGGACTCGTTTAGGAGGTTCAGTTGATTCTTTCTTTTGGGAGACAAAAACTTTATTGTTCACTTTCGACTTTACAGAATGTTTACATTCACAGACAGCAATATTACCAACTGCATGAAAGGGAATATTTGAAAAATCATAATTGGGGCTCTTTAATATTTTGAATTAGCTTTTATTTTTTTAATTTTCAGATTTCATTTTAGTTACATTTTTAGTCATTTTGTGCTTTTGTCATGTTTAAATATTTCTATTTATGTTCATTTATTTTTATTTATTTCCAGTGAGCAATTTTAGTGCATCAATTTATTTTGATTTAGGTGCCAAGGCAATATTCATATTTTGTTTAAAGGTGCCCTAGAATGTTTTTTTTATTTTATTTTATAATGTTTCCTGGGTTACCCTTATAATGTTAGTATGTTTTTTAGATAAAAAATAATCATAATTTAGAAATAAATGGCATTTTTCCTAGTCTGCTTTTAGCCTCTGATTTGAACACTCTGTTTGAAGGGGCGTGTCTGCTGTGGGATTCAGTGTAACCGCGGCCACTGCTGTGATTGGCTGACATGCTTGCATATGAAATAGCAACGCATTACATGTGAAACTCTCTCCCGAATACTTTTACTACTGCTATTATACGTTTTTACTATAACAGCTATCGAGATTAACGAATCGTGAGATGTTTTTAAAGTATTTAGATCTATTCCCATCACATAAAATGTTGCCGTGATGAGCATTGAGCAGATGACAGTGTGTTGATCGCGAGAATGAAGATCTTATCATTGCAAAGCAGTTTCTGCACTCTCTCTAAGGCTTTCACCAATGCAAACACGATGATGTAAATACAGTAAAAGCTTCGTTGTGCAGTAACGTGCGTCATTGATTTCATAACAAGTTTGGCAAGTGTCCAGATAAACTCGCGCTGTGTGGAAAGATTGTTCTTTGATCGCTTTCTGTATATAATTTGTTCACAATTTAAATACGATTATTTTCATCCTACTAAAAGAAACGATGTGAAGCTGATATTTTAGTCACTGGCTTGACTTACTGATGCATAAACAGTATTGAACGATTTTGAGAGAAAGATTACCTGTCTGAACTTGAACAATTACACATCAGAAAGTGTTGCTTGGTAGCTCGATCCGAGGCCAGCTCTGTATTGGCCCAAGTTGAGGAAACACTCGGTGAAATGTTTGGAAATTTCCAGAGAAAATAAAATTAACCCATTGTTTCTTCAGAGGCTCAGATGAAGGAACTAAAAAATACTTTTGTGTTCATGTGTACATCCACACTGAGCAACTGCCATGCTTCGGCTGCGCAGTCCCGCCTGGCATTGAGGGCTGGCATTATGCAAATATTTGGAGGCGTACATATTAATGATCCCAACTATTGCGTCACAGTCGGTATTGTGTGGAGAACCGACCGTTTTTCAGGGGTGTTTTTCATAAACGTGAATTAAATGAGAACGCGAAAACAGTCCAGTTTGAGATTCACTCTATGTCATGTCCATGCACTGAACTCTTGTTATTTGACTATACCAAGGTAAATTCAATTTTGAATTATAGGTAACCTTTAAGCTTTATTTCAATCAACAAAAATGTTTTTTTTAACGCTTTTAGTTAATGATAACAACCGTGGTTTAGACATACATGCACCTCCCGGACTGGAAGCTGCCTACAATGTTTCAAATGCAGAAAAGCTCATCTTACCGGCTAGCAGTCAGACTGTCTGGTGCTGATGGGTCACTTCTACACCAAGCCGCCCAGCCTGCTGTTGAGGAAGAACTGTCCTCTCTTCAGCGCGTCCTCCCTCTCTGCTGGGGCGCTGAGGGTCTGACAGCGGCGGAACTCTCGGGTCACTGCGCGCCGGTAGTAGTCGCGGTCGGTGTACTGTAGGTGTTGACCTGCACGGAGCAGTGCTCGGTACAGCTGCAGGACAGCACTGCGGGACCAGCCGCCCATCAGGGAGGGTTCAGAGCGGGCAGAGACCGACGTCTCACACGCACCTGGAAGATGGACACTTTAAAGTCAGTGTTAAATGGAAGTTGCATTAGTCTTTACTTCCCTATTGTGACGTGTATATGAGTGAAACGGCTTCTCGAACAGGAAAACCTGTAGGGCGGGACTTAATTGGATGGTTGAACTTTTGGTGCATTCAAATCCTCCTGGGAAGTTCGTATTTACGAGATGGGAAGTCGTGTTTACGACGGCAGGTTCGTTCAAGTCACTTTCATCGGAGTAAGATGGCGGTGTACTTTCTCTTAATTACACAAAAATACAGCAAGGTTCTTAAACTTTAGTTCTAGAAAATGAAGAACAAAGAAATGTGCATTAGGTGTGCTTTGCTTTTTTATGTTTTTGCTTAAACTTTATCTTTACAAATTACATTGTTATGTTATAATGCCATCATGTTCTGTGCAGACAATTAGCTTACTTCGCTGTCAATTGAAAAGCCTGACAATAGGGGCTTTCAAGAAAACCCAGAGCTTCCCACTCGTATTTATGAAATTGTGTGTTCAACTCGTAAATACGATCTTTAGGAGATTACTAGAACCCATTTGCTATTGCTGTGATGCCATGACAGTTTTCCCCTCCCTTACACCAGTAAACACATCATCAGAGAATTAAAAGATGTCACTGCAAGAGGGAGAAGTGATTTTGATAAAAAATTAAGGGCACATGAATTTAAAGCTGCAGTCCGGCATTTTTCCTCTGTCGCCATCTCTGTTTGAAATCTGTAATTGCAGTTATTCGCGGAATTATTAACTTTGCGTGAGTTGCACATCGGCATGAAACAGCGCGGATGAACACAATGTTTTGAGACTGCGAGTCTGTCAGTCACCGCGCCGATGTGGAAACTGGCATTCAGAATCACACATTCTACTTTTGGAAGTAGGCCTACAGTATGACCATGACAACATACGAATTTTCATCGGAAAATGTCATCTGAACAAGTAAGTAACATCCACATCAACTAAGGGGGGAAAGCCTTGCAGTATATCGTGCTGATTAAATATAACGATCGCGTCAAACCTTTCAAATTATACTTTGTTCTCAAATTATCAACATCAGCATTGTGACTACATTTAATGTGTATTATGATTACCCTGTAGTTCAGTTTCTATTTCTGTGCAGTCTAATTTCTAATTGTCATACCAATAAATTAATGTTTCTTTACTGGTTTTCTTTGAGAAAAAAGAAAAGAAAAAAAAACACGTAGGCCTATCTGTAATCCGATGCATATTTAAAACTATATATAATTTCGGAGGAGGCCGGTTTGGTTTTCTTGGAGTAGAGGTGAATTGCTCCCTCTCATAGCTAGCACAAAATATTTACCATAATAGCTAAACGAATAAAGACAGGAAACTCCGTAACTGTGTGAATTAAGCGAACAAGTGTGCTACTGTTACACGATTGAACTATTGAAATGTCTTACCTGTCCTAAAAGAAAAAAAGCCGTCTCTGCGTCCGTTTTGAACCGATGTTTATCCTTGTTTTCGCGTGGGCCAGTTGCAGTCTCTTTTTTCTCTAACGTTACCCACTCCGAAGTCCGAATTATTTGGGGTTTTACAAGTGGTGAATGTCCAGTTGTCACTGGTGATTGTCGTTTGAACCTTTCTGGATCCGCCATAAGTTTAATTATTTAATGCTGTGAGAAAAGGCTAAAAATGTCCACCTCCAACATCCTCACGCAATATAGCCGACTAGCCGGGACGCCTTCTTTATGTGTACAGATGTGACGTAATGACGCAAAGACATGCTCGAATTTCCCGCGGAAATCCACCAGTACCACTGGAATTAAAATCATTATTACAAGCTAACCGTTTTGAATCGGGCAAAACCAAGCAGATATTTTTGAGCACTGGCTGGTTATGTTTTTTTTAATTATTATTATTTTGGATAATTTTTAACCCAAAAAAGTTACGGACAGCAGCTTTAATAAAATAATGATGTGCACGGATAAATAAGTTTATAATAAATACAATATTCCATAAAAAGAATTTCAATTCAATTTCATGGTGACTTTAAAACCACCCTTTGGATGGATGACAACAGGACATTGAACACAGCAAAGTACTGTGGTAACCGCGGTCATAATGCAAATATTTATTCAATAACCAGCTGACACAACCAAACCGCATTCAAATCCCAACAATTCAGCGCTCTTTCTTTCAAAACAAAACAAAACAAATGAAAAGCAGAGTAGCAGACCAATGCTGGCACGTGCGGCTTTTATAAGTTATATACCCCTGTAATGAAATGTGCAATGTCTGAGCACTAGTTATCATAATTAATGTTGGGGATTTTTAAAATACATGCCTGATTTTTAAATGCTTTGATTGATACCCAACCCAAGTAAGCTTGACTAAACCATCGCCTTTATAACTACTGCAATGCCCAGAGCAATAAAGCCTGTTCCACACATATTTAGGTATATTTGGAAAAAATATAAATATAACCTTTTAAATAATATTAACACGCTCTGTGGGAAGCAGTTCTGGCGAATGTGTATGAAAATGAGACGTTTGCAAGCAGAGCTGCAGTTATTTTGCATGCTACCGTTAGCTAGCCTTATCTCCAGTGACCTTCTTTAACTGTGAAAATATGTCAATAAGCTCAACCTCCGAGGTCTCAAATGTTTACGAAACTCATACTCGGAGCCAATGGAAACTTTTACTCACGTTTGAATTAGACAGAAATGAATGTTTAGCTTGGCAAGGGTGGGGGAGATCAGACAGCCTTCGGTAAAGGGTCGACCAATGCCGCTCCGGAAGAAGAATATGTGTGACTACTTCCGGGGTTATTGGAACAAGTTTGTAAAAATGGGCTCAAAAACCAGCCACAAGTGGGCTGCTGCCTATTTAGTTAGTATTACCAGTATATTTCTGTCGTTTCTACAATGCATCAGGGTTTTTAAAATGATAATTCTTTGAAATACCTTTAAAATGCCTTTAATGGACTTTATTATCCTCTACTATGAAAAAAGTAATTATAGATATAGCATAAAACATTTCAATATTTACTGTGTGAAATTCACACACACATATTAGGGGTGTAACAATATATCATGTCACAATATATCGCAATACAAAAATACAACAGTATCGTGGATGGTGACAATATGTATCTTGAATAGTTCACCCAAAATAAAAATTACTGTGTGAGAATAAATTCTAATTGTTTTGGTGTCAGTACTACATTAATCTATTATATATAATGATGAATATAATATATAATAATGCAATGGGGGAATATGTGTGAGTCCTGATAATGCCAAATGTCTTATGTTAACAAGTAAAAAGTGGCCTACATGATTTTTAATAATCTAGTCAGTGACAGAGTGCAAGCATATTCATCAAAAAAAAAAAAAAAAAATTCTGTATTTTCAGCTTCAGAATCATGAATTTAAATTTATTCTCAGGTCACCATTGTCCTGTGCATTGGGTTACCTGCACTAAGTCCAAGTCCATTTACATCCACAATGTAATATCAAATTTAGCTTTTACTTTTTACAAAAATACTTGTGATATTTACCTTGAGTTTTACTTTTTTCACACATCAAATCTTATATTTTGTCTTTCAGCATGATTGTTTGGTAACCACGGTCCCTATAACTTTTGATAAAACATTAGGTCAGAATTGTTCTTTCTTGATCGTTTATATATATATATATATATGAACAGGCTATAATTGTGTCAACTAAAACAAATGTAACAAACATTTATTCTAAAAATGTAAAATGCTCGATTGAATAAAGAATCTGATATGTACTGAAATTATGAAATTGTTCAGGACTATATGGGTAAAATGTGATGCCTGTATATTCACTGATGGACACTGATGGACAAAAAAACACACACAAAAAAAAACTAGTGAAAGTCTGTTTTAAGAGTCATAACAATTCACAGGGCCAAAAGTGAAACACCCAGGAACCCAATCGCTATAATAAAGAAACACTAACAAAGGAAGTAAGGCTAACAATTCTGTATCAACATCATAGTATCATAAAATTTTTCAAGGTCTGTCTGATCAGGATGTGTTCAGCCTGAATGTCACAGTTAAACATTGTTCATAATCTGGATATCTGATAACAAAGAGCACCTGCAATTTCACTAAAAATAATTTGACCTTTCTCACGTGAGACACAAGATAACTTACTCAATGCATTCTTTGTTCAGCTAACGGGAAACAAAAATCATCACCACACAGCACATCACATGATATTTTTTAGGTTTCCATGTCTATTAAGGAACTCCTCATCCTTCTTCTACCATCTGATGTCTTTTAATGAGATAATGAAACTTCAATGTCCTTTACAGACAACCATGATTACAGTGAGCACAAGTTATCCAAATGTCCAGATTATTTTACTGTCATACTATGATATCTAAAACTGATGGATAAGATTATAAAGCAATACTGAGCTAATTCAACTTCAAGTCTAATCGCATTTTGCAGGTTATTCTGAATGACGGAAGGATGTGTGAATGCAGAAAGAACATTAGACTTCAGATTAATAATCTCACAGAGTGAAAGATAGAACAAGACTATCATTGAACACAGTTCCATTACATTTGTTTCATTTCCTCTATTTATAAAGCACTTTTAAACGACTCTATAGCTCAAAGTGCTCAACAATCATAAAGGGCATAACAAACAACGTAACACATCACATTAAAACACCACACAACAAATCAATACCCCTGTATATACAGTAGCGCCGTGGTATAAATATGTTTTTCAGAGCATACTAATAAGGTTCAAATGCAGCTTCCACACAGAAAATCTAGAAAGGTCAATTTATATAGACTTAGGAAATAAGTAGCTTCTGCAGGAGTTGAATGTTTAGAATAAAAATGTAGTATCAAAAATGTTGCTCATTTGTAGAAACAATAAATGAGGCTGATACTCTTTTATTGCATATAAAGAAAAGGAATGTCAGTGTGACAGTCTTCCTGTTATATTGCACGTCTATTGGGAGATAGGAAATTAAATTCCTTAATTGGAATCACTAGGTTCAGATTACAGTCCTCTTCTTGTTTGTTCACTGCAACAAAAGGTTGTTGCACTCTAGCTCTCATCGCATTGACTAGACGACATATACTTTGGAAGTCTTTACTGCTCTGAGGTGAGTTGAATGCTTATATATTGTTTTGTTTTTTTTGCTTAATGTTTCTTCTCTGACATTAAAATACACAAGTTTGTTGACAAACTTTAAATAACTTTGCACTGAAAATCAGAAACGATAAGAAATAAAATTTTGACTGAAAGGCATTAAAATCAAGTAGTCAAGTTTTCACTGAATTAATGTCAACCAAACTTTAAACCACTAGCCATGTGCATTAGTTTGTTAGTGTAGTACTATATATATATATATATATATATATATATATATATATATATAATTCAATAATACATATGAACATTTAAAAACTAATTTACACAGAGTTAGTTGTGTTTTAAATCAATACATTAGTTGGCAGTTGCATGGAAGCTCAATCTGGAAGCTAATTTATTTGCCCTCACAATTGTGTAATTATGGCATTGTGAGATTCTGTTTTACTTTCTTTTCTGTTTTTTTTTTCACCCCAGAAAATATAGACATCAATTTACTTGCAATATACAGTTAAGTTATGCAAATATAGCCTGGCTGCATTTGTGATGAAAATTGTGATGCATTTGGGGGGAATCATACATGCACACATAAGAATGTCAAATCAGTATGTAAAAAGTTCTTGCAAAAATAAATAAATTAAAAAATTAAAAAATCCCAAACCAAAAGAGATGGTTTAAGTTAGTCTCACAGCCTGGCCTGGTTTAGGGTGGTTTAAGCTGTTTTAAGCAGGACAGTACCATGTTTTACAGGCAATTAATTTTGTAAGAATATTGTATAATACTTTATTGAATAAGTGTGTGAGCATGTAAATCTAGATTTATCTAGATTGCATTACATGCTTTACTTGGTGTTGTTCCAGTCTAAAGTGAATTAATTCAGTAGTAATCAATGACATTACATGATCAATGTCACCTAGAGTGAACTTCCATGTCACCAGAGACCATAAATGGAAAAAAGAAAGACAGCATTATAAGAGTTACAAAAAGAGACAGACCGTGATTAAATCAGCCAAAATCAAATTAGGAACATGCAGCATGAGACATATTCCCATGACGACTGCCTATACAAACAGCATGCTATACTCATTATGGCCACATGACCAAAAGGTATCCTTGACAGAAGTTAATTTTGAGTATCTGTAGGTTTGGAATGTGTCAATGTCATTAAGTCATCATGTACGTTATAGTGGTCATCCTTAAATGTGTTGTATGCCTTTGAAACATGCTTGTACGGTTAAAGTACATTACTAAATCACACTAAGTCTTTTGTGCTGGAAATAAGCCAATTTATTAAGCCCCTAATGAAATTATTCAAATGCGCATGACAAAAAAAAAAAGTTATGTGTTCCATGTACCCTGAGAAAATGCTCTGAGTGTAATCATACAAACATGGTATTATTCAATTTTAAATCACATGACACAACTTAAGCATGTATTATAAAGTTTTATGTTTTATCCTCTACTCTGCAGGATGGCGCTACCTGATTATCCCATTCCAGAACTGGATGTTACTCTACAGGAAGCTAGCCGGGTGCTTCAGCTCACCTTAAATCCCGACCAGTACCAACACTATAAAACTGCCCTCTTTCAGCAGAGAGATGTACTACAGGAAGTCCAAAAACATCTGAAAGATCACGCTTCTGGACGTGAGAACTGGGTGACTGAGGAATTCAAAAAGCGTCTGCTCTCCTGCTATGATCCTCTGCCCAATTCCACCGCTATTCCCTCCATCCTGCCCTCCTCTAAGCTAAATGGGGAGTTTGCACAGATAGAGCGGGCTACGGCCCTGCTGTGGGCAGCTGCTAAGCTGTACAGTGACCCATTGCTGGTGGAAGGGGATGTACCAACTGAGCGAACACAACAGTCACAGGTTTTTGCGGCTAGTCGCCTACCAGGCAAGAGCCATGATGAGCTAAAGGTATTTATTTCCAATTAACCTCCAGTTTTTACTATTTTAAGTTACTTTAACTAAGTAAAACTAACTGTACTTTATTTTATTTTTTATTCTAAACTGTTTTAATTATTCTTATTTGTTTTGATTATTTTATTTTCTCCTATGTAAAGCACTTTGAATTACCATTGTGTATGAAATGTGCTATATAAATAAACTTGCCTTGCCTTGCCTTGCCTAATTTTAATGACCGATTTCACTCATCTTAATGAAATTTTCTTTGCCTCAATGTTCCAGACATACCCAGACAGCCTTCACGCCATTTTGACCTGTCGAGGGGGTATATTTCCGATTCAAATTGTATGGAAACCAAGTTCAGGGGAATCTCTTTCTGCTGTACCTCTCAATGACATCTACACCCAACTGGTGCATGCAATGAGTCACCCAGAAGCGCCCCCCGAACAAGACCCGTCCGTTATTTGTGGTCTGTCTTCTCTTCATCGCCAAGCCTGGCATTCTGTGAGAATGGATATCTTAAAGACAGGGGGTGAAGCAGCAGTTTCACTTGAAATGATGGAGAGTGCCATTCTGGCTGTTTCCCTGGAAGACCAACGAGCACCGGCTGATCTTGCAGGAATACTTAATACAGTCCGACTAGGGGAGAAAGATAACAGATGTTTGAGATACTATGATAAGGTGTGTAAAAACAAATCATGATGTTTAATTAGAACCTTATAATTAGAACTGTACAGCAGTAAGCTTAATTTCCAACGCCAATTGGGGTTTGTCAAATTTCAGAAATGAACAATTTCATCACTTATTAAATTCCATGTGTTGACATTTGAATTGAATTGGCGCCCAAACTTCAAAGCTTTTAAAAGCTTTACTTTTTTTCAATAATTCTGTGCCCTTCTAATACCAAATGCTAATTTGGTATTTAAATTTTTTTTTTATTAAGATAAAATTAAGTACTGTAAAGTACTGTTGAAATTCATGGATTATATGACTTCCCATCGCAATGCTTAAATCAGACTCAACTCACTGTAATGTTTAGATATGAATAGCAGAATGACATAACTATTTACCATCTTCATCAACAGGTGGTGAACTTGGTGGTTTTTAAAAATGGACAAGCAGGCATGTTGTTTGAGCATAGTGCCCTGGATGGAATGGTAGCTGGGCTTCTTGTTGAACGTCTGTGGCAGTTCTCGGAATCTGAAAACATAGTAATAAACACGCAAACCAATAAGTTAAGTCCATTCTCAAATGCTGGTTCTCTTCACCCTAAACCTCTGAAAATACCTCTGAAAGGAATAACTGTGCCAAATCAGTCTGTTTCTAGTCTTCTACAAGCCAGCCAGTCAGTCATGACTTTTGAAATATCATCTTACCCAGATGTGTTCACCACCTTAAGGGGTCACAGAGGTCTATATGATGCATGGATTAATTTCACTTTGCAGCTGTCCTTGAGGCAAACACTTGGCGATGCAGCTACTAGCCTCATCATAGTGACACCTACTCACATGCGTCACTTTAAACACGGCCGCTGTGATCCCACATACTCCACAACTATTAGATCTCACCAGCTTGTTACAGCACTGGCATCCTGCATTGGTCCAGACAATGTTCCCCAGTACACAAATGAGCTTTTCCAGCTCTTTCACCTTGCCTTTTTAGAGCACAAAAACCTAATCAAAGCTACAAAACTTGGCCTTGGAGTGGGGCCTCATCTGGCAGCCTTGCGCAGATCTATGTCTCAAGATAATCCACTCAAGAAGTTTCTTGACCCCTTTGGATGCCCTTCGATTTACTTGACTGGGTCAGATCTAATGGAGGGAGTTGAGTGTGCTGTAGGTAACGTCTATGCTACAGACCAGCTGGCTGTCACATATCTAGGCAGGAAGGACAAAGTACGTCTAGTCCTGAATGGAAAGGGTACTTTTGCCAATGTCCTGGGAAATCTCAAAGAAAGACTTGAGTTCAATCTAAAACTAGTAATGCTTCTGGCACTAAGGTATGCCATTGCAGGGCAGATGGGAGCCATTGAATGTCTCCTGCAAGACAATAAAGAAAAACTAGTAAATAGATCTTCAGTGGACGATGCAGTCAGAGCTGTGGAGCAAAAAACCATGCAGCCAGATTTCACTTTAGTGATCCATGGTGGGGCAGGAGAGGAAATGATGCTAAATGAGAAGGTGATTGGGACCATTGAATTTGCCCTTCAAACAGCTCTAACTCTTGGAGCACAAGTGCTTTTTCATGGAGGTAGTAGTCTGGATGCAGTACAAAGAAGTGTAGTTGCGTTGGAGGACTGTTTCTTGTTTAATGCTGGCAAAGGATCAGTATATAACCAAGATGGGGAGCATGAAATGGAAGCCACCATTGTGGATGGACATGGGAAGAACTCTGGATCCGTGGCTTGCCTGCGACGAGTGAAAAACCCAATAAAAGCAGCCCGCTGTGTTATGGAAAAGAGTGTGCACTCTTTACTGATTGGAGAAGGTGCCGAAGAGTTTGTAAACAGTCTTGGAGAAAAAGAAACAACACTAAAATCAGAGTACTTTGACACTGATATAAGATACAAGGAGTTGCTTATGAAGTCAGGTGATGGCAAGAATAACCATCCTCAAACTGTAGGTGCAGTTGCGCTGGATAAGTGGGGCAAGTTAGCAGCAGCCACATCCACGGGAGGTTTAGTTGGCAAGTGGAAAGGCAGAGTCGGTGACACCGCTATAGTTGGGGCAGGAATTTATGCTGATGAGAAACTAGCCGTGACATGCTCTGGTGATGGTGATGCCTTCTTACGTCAAACAGTTGCTCACAAAGTAGCCAGCTTATACAACCTCAAAGGTTACAGTCTCAGACAGGCTTGTCGAGAAGTTATCAACAATGATCTGGAAGAAAAGTGTGCAGGAATTATTGCTGTAGACCATCACGGTGAAGCCGTTATTGAAACCAATGCTGGGGTCATGTTTGTTGGTTCAATGGTCAGTGGTATTCCTCGAACTGAGGTTTTAAGACCTAGGAAGGAGTTTATGAATGTGATTTGGGAGACTAATGAATTGGTAGCTCACCTACAGTCTAATCCTTGGACCCCAGGAGCCACTGTTCTCACTCGAAAGACTATTAATGGACCTAGTAGCATCTTTCAGTTAGTGTTACCTGACTACATAGCAATGATGCAGGGGGCACAGTTAGTTGCCAATCTCCTTTGTGAGAAACTTTGTGTGCATCGCTGCGCCCTTGTGTCCATGCCAGAACATGACAAGCCAGCTTACATCAAAGTCTTGCCTCTCCATGACCTAGAACCAAACTGGAAACCTCAAACAGCTGAGGAAATGGAGTTCAATCCTTATGACCCTGGATACTGTTGCTCCAAAAATGGTCCACGATGTGAAGATACCCTTCTTGACCAGGTGCAGGCAAAGATTCGCTCTCGACTCCCGACACCCAATGCCCCTTCTTGCTTTGACTTCCATGGAGATCCTTCTGATAACAGCCTTTTCCCCCGCATTATTCGTGGTGAAGAGCAACAGTGGCGTGTCTGGGAAGACAATGAACATGTAGCCTTCCTTACTCCTTTTCCAAATACACCAGGCTTTACAGTTCTAGTGCCAAGAAAACCGCTTACCAGTGACATCTTCTGTCTGAAGGAGAGCGACTATACATCCCTACTTGTGGCAATACAAAAGGTTGCTCATCTTGTGCAAGAAGGAATGAATGCCCATTGTGTAGCTCTCATATTTGAAGGGTTTGAGTTTGATTATGCCCATGCCAAACTGATTCCATTAGTTCATCAGCCTAATGCCCCCAAATCCCCAGTTGTGACTTCTCAGTTCTGCCCAACTTACACAGGATATGTAACATCAGTAGATGGTCCTCCAGCTAACAAAGATGACCTTACAGAGATCCACACCAAGATAACAAAGACTACTCCACCTCAATCCTGGGAAGACCCCCAGACTCATGCAGCATTAGCCATCAAGAGCAAATGGTATCGCAATCTCTTTCAAATCCAAAACACCCTGTTTCATAGCACAGTAGAGTACTTCAACAACAAATGCAAGTATGCTTATGCACTGACACCTATCACAACTGACACAATTTCCTCTCCAATGGGTCTGGGGTCAGATTCTGAGCCGGTGTTTGTCAACATGTTGGGCCAAGATATATATCTGGCAGACTCTATGCAGTTTGTTTTAGAGTACTTTATGAGGTTTCATGATGGTCTTCCTGGGGCTTACTATGTGTCCCCCAGTTTCAGAGGGGAGGATCCTGATGCTACACATCTCAACCAGTTCTACCATGTGGAATGCGAGCTTCTGGGCGACATGGATGCTGCCATGACTATAGCTGAAGGCTATGTTGCACATTTGACTCAGGCAATGGTAAAGCAACATTCCGACATTATCTTAAACACAGCTGGTACACTATCTCATGCCCAAGAACTACTGAAGAACTTAGAAAACCCTCTTCCAAGAGTACCCTTGGATCAAGCCATTAACATTATGCCATCATCTGATTGCCTTGAGTGGGTTCAGGAGGGACAACCACAGTTTGGCAGGAAGCTAACGCGAAAGGGAGAAAAGGTCCTAATTAAAAAGTATGGAGGTGCTGTTTGGCTGACAGAAATGGACCATCTTGGAGTGCCCTTCTACCAAGCATATATTGAAGGCTCAGGCAGAAGCAAAGCCAAGGCAGCTGACCTTCTCTTGGGGTTAGGGGAGACAGTAGGGCTTGGGGAACGTCATTCTACACCTGAAATGGTACGAGAGGCCTTACAACACCATGCTGTACCAGAGGACTCATACAAATGGTACATCAACATGCGTCAAGCCATCCCTCTTCAAACAAGTGGATGGGGTATGGGCTCAGAGAGATACCTGTGCTGGCTTCTGCAGCACAATGATGTCAGGGACATGCAAATCATACCCAGACTGAAAGCTAAAAAGTTTATGCCATAAATGGTACATATGGTCCTCAAAGTCTACAACTTGTGCAAGGACTTTACACAGGGAACTCAGTATTTGTATTGACAGTTACAAAGTTATAGATGGCATATAATGTATGGAATCAATACCAAATATACTCTTTAGAATTTTAGCAAGAATAAGGATATTAAATCTTGAAATAAAAGTTATACTATATAACTACACTACATTTCAGATTGTTACATTTTTGACAACAGAATATTTAATGCTGAGTTGGCCTTAATTCACTTTCTTTTTTTTTTTACATACTTTTTGGTGTAAATCAGTTTCTGCTATACTTATTGTGTTTACCCACTTTGTTTTAGCTAAGATTAAAAATATGTTTGTAAGAACTGATGTACTTTTTTGAGTATTGCAGAATTTTAAATACTGCACATACATATCACAACACTGTATTTCTTTTTTTTATCTCTTTCTCTGTATCTTTTTTGCTTTCCTTTTCTGTTTTAATACTTTCCTAAAATATTATATGAATGCATTACAAACTGGCTTACTGATTTACTGACTAAAAATTGTATTATAAAACTCTTATAACATTCTTTACAATTATAATAATAAAATGCAGATAAATCACCCTTAATGTCGTTTAATTGTTTTAACAATAAACACTGAGCTCATAAACCAAAAACAAGAACAAGTAGCTTACAAAATATGTGATAACTTAAATTTTTGCCATGTAGCTGGTCAAAATTTTTAACTGATGAGCAAGAGAGCACATTAAACACTATAGTAATCAAATGAATAGTTCTGCTGACACCGTAAAGGCATGGGAATCACTAAACAGTTTATTTGGATCAATATCTAAAAGGATTAGAGCTGTTCTAAAACCTTCAACACCACGTAATTATATTCTCATGACTGCCACAGAACTGCACCTTGTGACAAGCTAATAAAGTCTTTCACAAACTGACAACAACACTCAGTGAAAGAAAACAGTTCCTCTTTCACCAACTCACACAAGTCACATAGTAACCATGTATGTACTAGTAAGCATAACAAACATCACAAGTAAGCATAACCAAAAAACATGACACAGCTAAACCGAGATAAACCAAATGAATGAAACAGGTCTGTTAGAAATTTGTAACAGTTACCACTCTTCTACTCAGAGAGCTAACTAATTTCATATTATATATTCATCATCACAGTGCAGGCATTCGAGTGATTCAGTTAATTTCTTTCAGAAACCTTGCACTATTAATCCTTCGCATCCATTAAAACACCACTTGCACTCAATTCTTTCCAACATTGTTGTACTTCTGATGTATTTCTTATGCATTTCTTTACTGCTTAGAAAAGAAGAATATTTATCTTTGGAATGGAGTGAACTTTTTGACACATCCAGTCATGCCTTACTAGTCAACAACAACAAAAAACCTTCAAACTTAAAAAACCCCCTCAAATCTGATACCTATGCAAGTGTTTTTAAATAGCATTTCAATGTATAAGACAACACATAACAGAAAGACAACAAAAACAAAAGTACAACATTAGCCATTGTACTAATGATATCTGGCTGAAATGTATTTAATTACTGAACGCATTGATCACTGAAGATACTAAAAGACAAAACAGGGAAAAAAGCAATAAATTTACCAGGGGGCACCCGGATTTGAACCGGGGACCTCTTGATCTGCAGTCAAATGCTCTACCACTGAGCTATACCCCCTCGCGGTTCAGCTAATGATTTCTCTGCCATATATTAGCAATGTTGTATGTCGTACTTAAAACAAAATTAAATTAGATCGTACATTTTAAGTTAAATAAGTTTTTAAAAAAAGCTTATTGTTTAGATTCCCTCTTTTCCCGTCAACAAAATATCACACCGAGGTAATATTTGAGCAGTAATCCATTGCTCGGTATTTGCAGCATAGACTGCCGTCGAGAGGTTGTAGTGCTGTAGTGGAGCGCGCGAGTGACATGGCTGCTCAAACTCGAGCTCTCGTAGCGGCGCGATGGCTCGCGGACGCTGTCAAAAGCAACCGAGTGGGACCAAATCTGCGGATATTAGATGCATCTTGGTATTTACCTAAAACGAAACGCAACGCTTGGGCCGAGTTTGAACAAACTCACATTCCCGGAGCTTCGTTTTTCGACATCGACGAGTGTTGTGACAAAAGCTCCGAGTTTGATCACATGCTGCCTACTACCGTGGGCGAGTTCGCAGACTATGTGGGTAATCTGGGAATAGGGAACAACACTCATGTCGTCGTTTACGATGCCAGCGATTTTGGTTTGTTCTCTGCACCACGGGTGTGGTGGATGTTTAGGGTGTTTGGACACAATTCCGTGTCGGTTTTGAACGGTGGGTTAAAGAACTGGTTAAGGGAGGGTCATCCCGTTACCGAGCAATATAGTAAACCAGCGCGTGCCGAGTTCAAAGCGTCCTTTAACAAGTCCTGGGTCAAAACTTATGAAGACGTTTTGAACAACATTAAAACCAATGCATTTCAAGTAGTCGACGCCAGAGCCAATGGAAGATTTCGTGGGGTTGAACCAGAGCCAAGGGCAAGTAAGTATGGATTGTGACCTGTCACACACTTTTTTTTCCTAGTGCAAATATCTAAACATTATTAAATATTTACTTGAGAAGAAAAAAAAGACATACAATTTCGATATTTCAAGTAATATCTTGATTTAAGAATGTTTATATATTTGCAGTGGAAAACGAGACAAATATTAACTATTTTAAGCAACATTTTCTAACATTTGTATAATTATTATAAATTCATTTTTGTGACCACATGGAATATTTCTTTAAAAAAAGGTAATCATTCAAAGCACTTTCCCTTATACATTCAAATGGATTTTTTTTTTTGTGAACTACTCTTTTACATCATAAGGTAAACTACAATATCCAATGTTTTTACAATATCCAATGTTTTACTGTGTGTGTGTGACATTACAAATGTATATTTTGGCTTATCTTTTATGGTACACGTTTTCTCTGAAGAATGGAGTTAAGAAAATGAAGAAAGATGCTATCAGTCTATGAATGCACATTACCACTTTTCTATTATCAATTTCAACTATTGTTATAGTGTATAATTCTCCACAGTAATACAGTATAAGTCATACAGTGCCATACTTAATCTAAAACTATTTAAATCACTTTTTCTAGCTTTTGTATATTTAATTGCATGCATTTTGTGACCACATTCATATGGACTTCTAAGTTATGTTTTAAGTACTCTTATAGAACATAACACAAGGTACAATAATCAAAGATTTATTTATAGACATAACAGATTCATTTAGTTGTTTATCAAAAATACCAAAGTGCCATTGTCTTATTTCTCTACATTTCTCTGTTTTATATCTTAGACACAGAGCCTGGTCATATTCCTGGATCGATCAACATGCCTTTTCCCAGCTTCATGGACTCGACATCAGGTCTAGAACATCCTGTGGAGGAACTCACCAAGCTCTTCCAGCAGGCAGGAGTTGACATGCAGAAGCCCTTCTGGGTCACCTGTGGCTCAGGTGTGACAGCCTGTCACATTGCCCTCGCCGCTCACCTGTGCGGCCACCCGGGGGTCTGTCTGTACGATGGAGCGTGGTCCGAGTGGTTCACCAAGGCAGCACCTGAACATGTGATCTCTGAGGGAAAAGGAAAACAGCAGCCATGATGGTTTCTTAGACCCGTACGACACCGTTTCTTCGGAATAAAGAACTGATGACTAATGGAATCACAAGAAGCCTCATTTTGATCTGAAATGATTGCACAATTAGGCTATTAAGCTTTTTTTCTGGTTAAAATAACAGTTATATAAATCTAGAAAGAGAGTTACAAGAATTCATAGCTCAATTCAGCTGTCAGAAAGAATACAGAAACATTCAGTATTTCAGAAAAAACCTCTAGAATGTAATCAGATAAAAAAAATCTAAATGTTGTTAAAAGGATATTTTTTATATAAATATAATGTAATTATTGTGCATTTAAAATAATGCACACCCGATAGCCTATTTGAGGGGAAATTAATGTTTAATTATGCCAAATAGAATTTTTATGCAATAGAAATGTGATTTTACTATTTTACTCTTAATTTAAAAAAAAATAAGCAAACTATAATTAGTGACCTAACCAAGTTGTGTATCTAATAAATGCAATATACACAAATATCTCATGTCTTGTGTGCCAGTGTTTAAAACAAATAGTTTCAACAACACACGCATAAGGGGCATTTTAACATATTGCAATCACTGATGAATTATGTCAGCTTACACATAAAGATAAATCAATGTAGATCTCCCGCATGGATTGTCAAATTTTGGTCTTTCTACTCCTCGTGCCACATTTTTAATGGACGTATCCATAGTCGCCTCTATTATTGCCTGATGGTCCTGCGAATGAAAACAAACAGACGCTGCTCTCCATTCCACTGTCTTCATGACTTAACGTTGTTTGTCTATTTTCCCGACATTTTAGACAAAAGCTAGATGTAATTTTAAATCTATTATACGATTAGTTTGGTAAATTCATGTGGATATTTTAATACTCAAAATCAAACAGTTGATGATCAAGCGCTAGGTCGAGTCGTGAGCACTAAGTGGTCGCGAGGTATCTTCCCTACACCTTTGTATCGTTTTAACATTTCGAGATTTTGTTTTGGAGTTCGCTAAAACCATTGACTAAAACCGTTTGGTATTGGCTGGAAAGGTATTTTAAAACATTTGTTTAAGGTAAGCCAGCGACTGTAATTGTTGACAGCTAGTGGCGTATGATGCTAATGATGATATATTAGTGTTGCAAAGTAGTTGCGCTCACAAAATTGAAAGTGGTTCAACTTAAAACTTCATGTGATGTATCTTTAGACATTATATTCTTATAAGCTCATCTATAATGTGTATTTATGTCTTTACGGATGCACCGACGACACGTTTGATGATGTGTTTTTCTGCCCGCAGGGTGGCGCTGTTGAGTCATGTCTGGAATTGCTTTGAGTAGACTGTCACAGGAGCGCAAAGCCTGGAGGAAAGATCATCCTTTTGTAAGGGACTCACAAATACACAAGATCAAATGTGCAGAACTTGAAAAATATATCTAATTCATATCTATAATTTGAGCTGTGTTACCTTTTATTGTTTCTCTGTAGGGTTTTGTGGCTGTACCAACCAAGAACCCAGATGGCACCATGAATCTCATGAATTGGGAGTGTGCGATACCAGGAAAAAAGGGGGTTAGTTTCCAAATCGACCATCATCCTTCTCAAACAAATCCCTGTCTTAATTAAGGTTTAGATCAATTTACTAACCTCCGGTTTCACAGACAAGGCTTAAGTCTAATTCCAGACTAAAATGCATGTTTGAGCTGTTTTAACTGAAAGTAACTTGATCGGACATATCTTAAAATTTTAAACACGTCATTTCTTAAAGTTACTTAAATGCCCTAATTGAACTAAGGCCTAATCCTGGTTTAATCTAAGCCCTGTCTGTGAAACCGGACCATAGAGTTCTAGATTAAGCCTCAATCGGAGTATTTGTCAAGGGTAATTTTTATACTTATATTTAACATTTGTACACGTGTACATTTGTGTATATTTGTTTAACATATCCTACTCCTTTTCTCATTTACATTCCCTTGCATAATTGTATCTGAACATATTAGATGGGTGGGTATACTTGCAGATCTGTCATGTCTTTTGTGTACATACATAATTTGTCTAGGTTGTGTGTATATAGAGAGAGAGAGAAAATGAATAATAAAAATAAGTAAATATTAATTTTAAAATATGTTTGTGAGTGTTTTTGTAGTAGGCTATTATTACCTTATTTTATTTTTATTATCGGTCTCTTTTGCTTGAATTATGCATATTACAGTTTTAAGGCGGTTCTTAACACCTAGCCTATATGACATGCCTACATACAAATGGAAATCTATGGTGTCTTGGACTAATTCAGAGACTCATGTCAAATATCATGTTTGAACTGTGAACCAGTTTTAATTTACCAGAGTTTTAAAATCTGTCGATATGTGTCCTGTAGACTCTTTGGGAGGGAGGTTTGTACAAACTGAGAATGTTGTTTAAGGATGACTATCCATCTTCACCACCCAAATGTGAGTTTTCTCCTCTATAAGAGATGTTATACTCTAAACATTTGTTTTTATATTGCTTGTTATTATTGTCATTGTCACCACACCTTTTACAGGTGTTTTATTTGCTGAACCCTGATTATACCGTTTGCATATTTAATGTAAAGCTCTTCATTAGCACCTAAAGACCGTTGTTAAGCTGCTTTAAAACAATATGTATTGTGGAAACAAACCTGACGTGTTCATTTTGTTCTCAGGCAAGTTTGAACCTCCGATCTTCCACCCAAACGTCTATCCTTCAGGTACAGTGTGTCTGTCCATACTGGAGGAAGAGAAGGATTGGAGACCAGCCATCACCATCAAACAAGTATGTATAAATACACACACAAACACAATTTGTGCAGTTATACACTACCGTTCAAAGGTTTAAGGCTCTGTAAAAAATTAAAGGCATTGTTTTCTATGGTAATTTATTTTAAAATGTAGTTTATTCCTGTAATGACAAATCTGAATTTTCAGCATCATTACTCCAGTCTTCAGTTTCACATGATCCTTCAGAAATCATTCTAATATGATGGTTTGCTGGTCAAGAAACATTTATTATTATTATCAATGTTGAAAACAGTTGTGCTGCTTCATATTTTTGTGGAAACCGTGATCCATTTTTTTCAGGATTCGTTGATGAATAGAAAGTTCAAAATAAATAGACATCTTTTGTAACATTATAAATGTCTTTACTGTCACTTTTGATCAATTTAATGAATTATAGGTGAATTAAAGTATTATCTTTTTTTTTTTTAAACTTGCAGACCCCAAACTTTTTGAATGGTTGCAACATGGCATCATGACTTTGCGTAAACATACACGCCACTTTCAAGTCAAGTGGCGTGTTATCTATACGCATTTTGAGCTATCCGCGTGTATGTCCACGCCGAAACGAACCGTCATCTTTTGCGTGTATGTCTACGCCGTTAAATGTCCGAGCGAAACAAAGCAAAATGTAGATCTACATTCTGGGGAGCGATATTTTTTTTCCTAGGATGGTTGGGGAAGACTCATAAATGGTATTAACCCCAGTGACGGGTAGGTTTAGGGACGGGGTTGGGGTAGGTCATATATTTATATATTCAGTAATGTAACGTTAAGTCAACTGCGTTGATAAACACGCTGAAAAGCGATTATGCGTGTTGATAGCACGCCAAAAATGGAAATACGAATTGGCGTGTCATACATACGCCATTTCATGAGATCAGTCTGATGGTTGTGTACACCTAATTATGATTAAAATACTTTGAAATCATTGTTGCTCATAAGGTCATAAATCATTTGAACAAACCTTTTGGGCCAATAAGCAGTGAGCTTTTGTATGTCATTGTGTTGTTGTGGCTGTGTAGATTTTGTTGGGCATCCAGGAACTTCTTAATGAGCCCAACATTCAGGACCCAGCACAGGCAGAGGCATATACGACATACTGGTAAAGTTCAGCCAAACATCACGTGCACCTTTTAATATTAGATTGTACTGTCAACCGATGCCAAGCCCACATTATTGATCTTATCTCTCTCTCATTCTCCTGCAGTCAAAACAGGATGGACTACGAAAAGCGCGTGAGGGCACAAGCTAAGAGATTCGCTCCCACATAGAGCAACAAGTGCACAATCTGAAAGCCTGTGCCGAACAGATCCAGTTCCCACATAGCTGCCATTCTGATGCTCCAGAATCCTTCACCACTCAATGGAAATCCCAAAACTGCAGTTGAAAGTTGAAATAGAGATTTGTTCAAGTTGGCTTCAGAACCGAATGAGGATGGGTGTAAAACAACTCTTTAAGATGAAAGCAACCAAGAGAGAAGTTAAAGTTGGCTGCTGATCTGTGACCAGTTGGTAAAAAAAAAAGTGTTTTGGTGAGGAAATTGTTTGCAGATCAGTTGTTCAAAATCAACTTTTACACAGAGCAGAGATGGTAAAGGTGGAGGGTTTCTGTATATATAGTATAAATATTGAAAATTATTTACTTGACTTTACAATTGACTTTTATTTACTTTTTTATCGTTTCATTAGATTAATTAAAATGTGTGGCCATAATATATGTACGAGTATGTATTATTTGAAATAAAAAGAAGTGGTTGCTACACGCATTGTTGTTTATGTAATTTCTAATAATTGTAACAAACAATTAATAGTTTTATTTTTAAGGTAACTTTAATTATGTAAACAAACTGTCGTTATGGTGCTTTGGCATGTTTGTGTGACGTTCAGGATGGCACTAACTATTGATACTCTGTAGAAGTCAATTATTTATTAATGTCGCAGGTAAGAGTTTCGCCCCCACACCAACCACAACATGACCAATCGCTGGTCGGTATGTACCTCCTCTTTCCAAAAGCTTGATTCTGTTTTTATTAGTAGTATTATTTTAACTTTTTTATTCAGTTTGGTTTCAGGACATTTGTCCATGTCAACCTAATCGTTATAATGGAAATTTAATTGTGTGAAGTACTTATGGACTCTTGTGCCTAGGCTAAGCAAGCTTGTGATGGCAAAGTGAACCTGGCATATTTTTTTATGTTGCGTCAACAGTTTATTATTCATCATATTACTTAATAATAATGATGAATGATGAATTATTATTATTCATCATATTACAAAAGTACCCTGCATGTATTCACAGTTTTAAATCTTGATCATTTGTCTATTTCCAAGCATGTTTGTCAGGTTAAAGATGCAAATATCAGGACAGTAGTAGTAGCTTTGGTTATCATGCTGATAAATTATATTTATTGATAGGACAATTTGAGGATAAACATTTTATGACACTGAAATTGCTCATCATCATGCATATGTGATTTTATCTGCATATATTCAGGTGTGCAGAGTGTACAGCCCGCAGGTTCCTCCTCTTTGTGTGTGTATACATATATATACACTCACCTAAAGGATTATTAGGAACACCTGTTCAATTTCTCATTAATGCAATTATCTAATCAACCAACCACATGGCAGTTGCTTCAATGCATTTAGGGGTGTGGTCCTGGTCAAGACAATCTCCTGAACTCCAAACTGAATGTCAGAATGGGAAAGAAAGGTGATTTAAGCAATTTTGAGCGTGGCATGGTTGTTGGTGCCAGACGGGCCGGTCTGAGTATTTCACAATCTGCTCAGTTACTGGGATTTTCATGCACAACCATTTCTAGGGTTTACAAAGAATGGTGTGAAAAGGGAAAAACATCCAGTATGTGGCAGTCCTGTGGGCGAAAATGCCTTGTTGATGCTAGAGGTCAGAGGAGAATGGGCCGACTGATTCAAGCTGATAGAAGAGCAACTTTGACTGAAATAACCACTCGTTACAACCGAGGTATGCAGCAAAGCATTTGTGAAGCCACAACACGCACAACCTTGAGGCGGATGGGCTACAACAGCAGAAAACCCCACCGGGTACCACTCATCTCCACTACAAATAGGAAAAAGAGGCTACAATTTGCAAGAGCTCACCAAAATTGGACAGTTGAAGACTGGAAAAATGTTGCCTGGTCTGATGAGTCTCGATTTCTGTTGAGACATTCAGATGGTAGAGTCAGAATTTGGCGTAAACAGAATGAGAACATGGATCCATCATGCCTTGTTACCACTGTGCAGGCTGGTGGTGGTGGTGTAATGGTGTGGGGGATGTATTCTTGGCACACTTTAGGCCCCTTAGTGCCAATTGGGCATTGTTTAAATGCCACGGCCTACCTGAGCATTGTTTCTGACCATGTCCATCCCTTTATGGCCACCATGTACCCATCCTCTGATGGCTATTTCCAGCAGGATAATGCACCATGTCACAAAGCTCGAATCATTTCAAATTGGTTTCTTGAACATGACAATGAGTTCACTGTACTAAAATGGCCCCCACAGTCACCAGATCTCAACCCAATAGAGCATCTTTGGGATGTGGTGGAACGGGAGCTTCGTGCCCTGGATGTGCATCCGACAAATCTCCATCAACTGCAAGATGCTATCCTATCAATATGGGCCAACATTTCTAAAGAATGCTTTCAGCACCTTGTTGAATCAATGCCACGTAGAATTAAGGCAGTTCTGAAAGCGAAAGGGGGTCAAACACAGTATTAGTATGGTGTTCCTAATAATCCTTTAGGTGAGTGTGTATATATATATATATATATATATATATATATATAAATTGACATTCCTGGAATATTCCTTTAAAAATTCAGTTGGATTATGTGAAAATGTCCCATCGAGGGACCAGAATATCATATAGACTAATGGTTGGAGTCTTTTGAATTAGGCCAAACAGCAACCACTCAGTACAGCCCAGTAACCATATAGCAACATGCTAAAAACCACTCAGAATATTATAGCAACCACAGAATATCAAAAAAGCAGAGATGTAATATTTCTGAAAAAAAATACTAGTAATATTTATATACATATTGTGTATATACAGGGCTTGACATTCACTTTTTGGTTTTCCAAAGTTACTAGGCACTCAGCATTTTCACTGGCCACAATTTTGACATCGATACCATAGGGAAAAACTGACATATATATATTTTTAATATTACCTCCTAATTTGGCAGCTGGTATATTAGGCTGCTGTCACTTTATAGACCTGGGCCCGTATTCATAAAGATTCTAAGAATCCTCTCAGAAAACTCTTAATTTAGCTTAAAAACTTTTACGTAGGAGTCTTAGCTTAAGAGCGATTCGGGAACGATCTGAGAGCAACTCTGAGTAAGGAAAAGACAAAAACTCTCATCTTAGTGAGGAGGCGGGGCTGACCCCGTTGCTATGTATGACACAATCTTTTGAAGACTGTGATTGGTTGGTTGTCCAAGAAGGAAAAAAAAGCCATTTTAAGTATAGAGTTTACTCACACACACACACGCACATTATATTTATGTATATAAATCCTTTTTTTTTTACCTTGCTGTTAATTTCCTATAAGGTATTTGATTGGCTTAGAATGATAAAAATTGTTCCACTCTTTCCAATTACACTGATTGCTGTCTATTTAAGTGGTGGTTTGAATGTTTGTTTTAATATAGCAAACATGGATTAAAAGACGAGAAAGCCCGACTGGTCAGAAGAACCGTGTTTACTGTTAGCCCAGTTAGTGGATGAACACTAGGCCATCATTAAAGGAAAATTGGGGTGCGGGTGTCACAGCATGGAGCGAGAAGCGGATGTGGGAGCTTATAGCGCACATTATTAACGGTTCATTCCCCTGCTTATGCGCACTAGGGAAGCCTGCTATTCATAACTGCAGTTTTTTTGAGCCTGCAAGGTGGGAATGTCCAGTGGAAACTAAATGAACTGTGACACACTAAGAGGTTCTGAAAGTGCTGTAATGTTTGTGTGATCACTGCTGCTTACAGAAGGTTGTGACAGACCCAAATCACTGCTGCTTTATTGCATTTTCCCATTTGCCAAATATCTTAATGTAGTGATTACTTTCATTTCTGGCGTTATGGCATTCCTGCCTCAGGGGCATTTCTTCTCCCTCTTCATCGTTCTGTCATTTTCTCCTCTGCTAAAGAAACTCTTAAGCCTCTTAAAAGTCCTCATCCGTACTCCTAACAATTTTGACCTTAAGACCTCTTTTAAGGGTTAAGATGCTTTCTGAATTACTTTTTTCTTTACTAGGATTTTTTCTTTAATTTTAAGAGTAAACGCCCACATTTCTAAGAATTTTCTTAGAATTTTGTCACTAGGAGCTACTCTTTGCATTAAGATTCTTTATGAATACGGGCCCTGGGCCCGTATGTATAAAACTTCTAAGAAATGCTCTTAAGAATAGTCTTAAGCTTTGACTTAAGTGTCAAAAAAATACTTAGTAAAAAGTAGGACGTCTCTAAGAGTAGGATACGTTTATAAAGCAGCTAAAACCAACTTTCAGTTAAGTATAAGACTGATTCTTAAGTGCTGACTGAAGTGGGACTTAAGTGCTGCAAACTAAGGACTACAATGATGTCAACGTAAAATGGCCGCCCTCACCCTCTGAATCAGCCAATAGAGAGCCTGCAAGGGTGAGGTCACAGCAGCATGACACCAGTTATTTAATGTAATTATAATAAAATAATTTAATTAAGACACTGAAACTTTAATATTTAAATGTATTTTTTTTAATTGCTTTGCATTGTGCAAAATTATCACAAATTAGTATTGAAGGAAATTTGTCAGATTCACCCTTAATTCAAATAGTATTAAAAATGTGTTAAATATTTTGTAAGCGTATTGTGTAGTTGTGTATAAAACATTCCAAATTGTACAGACATAATTTTTAGCCAGCCTTTCATACATATAAATTATGAACACGTGAAAAAACAAGAGAGGACAATGAAATATTAAGAAATGATTATTTTGCAGACAATGTATGATTTTTTTTCTCCTGTGAGCTTTTTCATTTTTCTGAAACCTGTAGCTGTAGTTTGCCCTTATTTGTCACTTAATATTTAAAAATAATATTGATCTGCCTGCAATGACACCATTATATGAGAACTGAACTGAGCTGGACGATGACATCACTGTTTTCTCCAGAGCGGCTGTATAGATAAATGAACTAAATAGATAACTAATGATTTTTTACAATGGAAATTAAAGCTTTACCTTAAGTTCTGCCAGGAAGACTAAATTGTCACGTCACCCGGGGGTCCTTCACCTGTCCATACCTCATACCTCCCGGGGGTCCTTCACCTGTTCATACCTCATACCTCCCGGGGGTTCTTCACCTGTCAATACCTCATACCTCCCGGGGGTCCTTCACCTGTCCATACCTCATACCTCCCGGGGCTCCTTCACCTGTCCATACCTCATACCTCCTGGGGGTCCTTCACCTGTCCATACCTCATACCTCCCGGGGGTCCTTCACCTGTCCAT